TGATATTGTTGCTAATGGGTGCCATTTTGATTTCTTCTGATGCATGCATGAAGACGAAGACATCTCTCACTTTTCACCTTTTGTTGGATACGAATAATATCAAATAAATTCTGATATAATACGTTAGGTGGGTCGCTCACTTGTAAGTTGTAACCAATTAAAGCTTATAAATACAAATTTCCTTGGGAATGGCATAATTTATAAATGGGGTATGCTAAATACGTATATTGCTTTTGCTAATGGAATTAGGTCTTCTAGACTTGTGGTACGTTGCATCTACTAACTACTATCACTAATAATTCCTTTCAATCTTTGACATTTGCAATGCTCCCTGTTATTTTCACTTTCGTAACATTATACGCATTCTCATCACGACATCTTTTTCTTACAGAAAAACTTCTACTCCTGTCTATAATATCATTCTGTCAAACTCAAACACGTGAAATGTAAGTATGTCACACACTCACACTGCTACTTTTTGCTGTTGATTAGCGTCCTGGTTCACTACTTTTTTTGGTTCATGCAATTTGATCACGGTGAACTAGCGAAAACTTCGTTGCTATAAAACAATATGATCTATTTAGTAATCAAGTAAATAGTGGTCTAGTGACTTTTGGAAGGAGTCTCTCCAAAAATAGTTTAGAGTTATTTCTTTTCACTAGTTTGATCCGTTTGAAATTGGACTACTTTACATGTTATGGTCCGGCCACGAACACTTACGATTTTTTTAGTTTCAAACTCCGTGGTAAAGAAGAAAATTATCTTTTTAGTATTAATCAGAAAATTCAAAAATCTAATATTACATGAGTCTAGAGAAAAAAAAATGAATAGAAGTTTCATTTTCTTATGTTTTTTACTTATTTCATCTGTTCATTAAAATATAACATCCAAACAAAATTCAAAAAACCAAAATAACATAAAAGAGACAAAAAGAAAACTAAAAAGAAATTCAAAATTTTGATTGTGGAGTCATGGCGGTACTCCAAATCCCATATATGAATGAAATCAACCATCTTTTGTCACACTTTTAGCAATTGTATTTGCTGAAGGCACCATCACATGAAACTCATTAAGCTTATTTGTTTTGTTTTCTCTGCTTATATAAATTAATTTTAAAATGGAACAAAAAGACAAATTCGTGAAAAAGTGGTAAACACTAAAAACTCAAATCGGCAAAAATAAAAATAGAAAAAGGAAGAAAACGAATCTAGATGGAAATATTTCTGAAAAGAAAAAGAAGAAAAATAGATAGAAAACAAAAAAAAAGGAAGAACATCAATCTAATTTGATTCGCACTATATAAAGGAAACTATCTAACTTCATCTCTCTCTCTCTCACAAGTCGCAGCAACGCTCCAACGACTTCAATTCAATTACTTTCAATTTGTCGTCTTCCTTGCTTCCGTTAGCAAAAACCCTTCCGCTTAAACCCTAATTCACTTCGCCTCTCTTTTTGTCTCCGGCCATGTCGAGATTCGAGGACGGGTTTGCGGCGGATAAGCTCTTCGCTCAGGGATACTCCTACACTTACGACGACGTCATCTTTCTTCCTCACTACATTGATTTCTCCACAGACGCTGTTTCTCTATCCACGCGCCTTAGCCGGCGCGTGCCTCTCTCGATACCCTGCGTTTCGTCTCCGATGGACACTGTCTCGGAGTCTCACATGGCTGCTGCTATGGCTGCCCTTGGTGGGATTGGAATCGTGCACTATAACTGTGACATCGCCGCTCAGGCATCGATTATTCGCCAAGCCAAGTCGCTTAAACATCCGATTGCTTCCGACGCCGGTGTGAAGTTCCCGGAGTATGAGATTACTTCTTTAGATGCTTTTGGTCCTTCTTCATTCGTTTTTGTCACGCAAACAGGTGAGAATCATGTTCGTTTTCCAGGAATCTATTACTGTTTTAAGGATTTGACTATAGCTGTTGCAAAAAGAATCTGAATTTGTCAATTACAATAGTTCAATAGTGAAATTTAAGTTTGCTTTTTGACTGATTTAAAGCAGGAACAATGACGACTCCGAAATTGTTAGGCTATGTATCGAAATCGCAGTGGACGAGAATGAATTACGAACAAAGGGAGATGAAGATTTACGATTACATGAAGAGCTGTGATAGCAGCGACTACTGTGTACCATGGGACATTGATCTTGAAAAATTGGAGTTTGTTTTAGAAGATAAGCAAAAGGGCTTTGTGGTTCTTGAGAGGGATGGTGAGACTGTGAACGTGGTGACAAAGGACGATATAGAGAGGGTTAAAGGATATCCCAAGTCAGGACCAGGGACCGTGGGTCCTGACGGTGAGTGGATGGTTGGTGCAGCGATTGGGACGAGGGAATCTGATAAGGAGAGGCTGGAGCATTTGGTTGATGCTGGGGTCAATGCCGTTGTGTTCGATAGTTCGCAAGGGAACTCTATTTACCAGCTTGAGATGATCAAGTATGTGAAAAATACTTACCCTGAATTGGATGTCATTGGTGGCAATGTTGTGACAATGTACCAGGCACAGAATTTGATCCAAGCAGGAGTTGATGGGTTGAGAGTCGGTATGGGATCTGGTTCGATATGTACCACTCAAGAGGTTTGTGCAGTTGGTCGTGGACAGGTAAATGAAAAAGCTCTGAATCCTAACTGTTTACTCTTCTAAAAGGTGTAAACTTTGTGACTTATGTAACTAAACAGATTCCTTCGTTTTGTGTGATTTGGAACTGTTAGGCTACTGCTGTGTACAAGGTTTGTTCGATCGCGGCTCAGAGCGGGATTCCAGTTATAGCGGATGGTGGTATCTCAAATTCAGGTCACATTGTAAAGGCTCTCGTCCTTGGAGCATCAACTGTTATGATGGGTAGCTTTTTAGCTGGAAGTACTGAGGCTCCCGGGGGTTACGAGTATAAGGTATAGTCACATCTTCTTTCGGTTTAACTAACTTGTCTTGAAACGCTGTTTGTTTTGATCATTTGTTGTAATAATAGAACGGCAAGAGGATCAAGAAGTACCGTGGAATGGGATCGCTAGAAGCAATGACTAAAGGAAGTGACCAAAGATACTTAGGAGATAAAACAAAACTCAAGATTGCTCAAGGAGTGGTTGGAGCAGTCGCGGATAAAGGTTCAGTATTGAAGCTGATACCTTACACAATGCACGCCGTGAAACAAGGTTTCCAAGACCTCGGTGCTTCTTCCTTGCAATCTGCTCATGACCTGTTGAGATCAGACATCCTTAGGCTTGAGGTGAATGAAACGTGTTGTCTCAATTCTGGTTCCCAAAAACTCTCTAATTTTGCTGAGATTAGAACAAATTCTGTTTGGTTTTTGTGACAGGCTCGAACTGGTGCAGCACAGGTCGAAGGAGGAGTTCACGGGCTGGTTTCTTATGAAAAGAAATCGTTTTAAGCTTTCGCCAAAAATTGAGGATTTTTGACGAGTGTTTCTTATATTATGTTCCATGTTATTTTTATATATTACTTTAAAATCTTAGTTTTTCATTTATTGACATGATTCACATTGTCTCATGACATGAAATTTTCTCTAATACTGTTCTATATTTAGTACTTACTAAGTTATAAGAAGATTTGTTGAAATCTGAAAAGAACTTGCTATTTTCCATCACATTTATTGATTTATGTTAAAAGACTCCCTATAAAATTAATGAAAACAGGCGGCCTTTGTTTTCCTAAACTAAACAAACCTCTTCTTATTCAGTAGCAAATAAAGAAGAAGACCAAAGTCTTATTTTCATATACTGAGTTTACATCCCAGATCAACTTGGATCAAGTTAAAGATTCTTCCTGTAAGGTTACAGGCTCGTAGATCACAGATTTAACAAGACTCATCAGATCATGTGATGTAAATCCATCGTCCTTCCTGTAAAATAAGTTCAACACTTTGCTCATTTTCAAGAACGCTTCTTTGCATTCCCTTGGAACCGCACTTCCTTTCTCCTCCAAAATTAGCTTATGCAATTCTTCCCTCTTTCTCTCTGCTAAAGCTTTCATCGATTCTATGATTTCTTCTTTGCTGCTATTGTCTCTCTCGTGTTTCATGTGCAATGAAACCGCATTCAGCTTCCCTTCCGCGCTTTCTCTCTGCAAAAAAAAAACACATCAAAAGGGATACATAATCCCGAATCTATAAGCAAAGGTTTGTTAATTACCATTATTTTGTTGGATTTAGGCGTCTTTGCCATCTTTCAACTGTACATTTTACTTAAAAGTTCAAAATTTTAAGAAAAGTCTTACCTTAAAACCTTGTATGTCATTTAGAAGACGACCCATAGTGCTCACGAGCTTGTAGAGCTTCTTATATTGGTGGCTATCGACTATCTTCTCTGGAAGTGGTGGTCCAATCAGATAGGTAGCTGGGAGGACAATTGGTCCTAATGCAAATGATATGTACGCATTTTCCATGTAGTCCTCCAAGCTTGGTGTTGACTTGTCACTGGACCACTCCGCTTCTCTCAACATAGACTTGAGCAGATCCAACCACTGTGTAAGATATAGCACCAATGAACTATGGTCAGATGAGTTGTTAGGATATGATAACAAAGAATATAATTGTGTGGGATGATTGATACAACAATTTTCACAATCTGGTGTGTCACACTTCGTCCTTGATAGATGAATGCTTTCTCTCCTGTTTCGAGAATTGTGTCCCTTAGAACTGAGAATATGATCTCAACATGTTCTGAGCGGTACTCAGGAACACCGTTCAAATCCCACCTGAAATTTGTAAGCGAAGAACGATTATGCTTTTTAAGAGGGAACAAGCAGCGGAAGAGCTCTGAAGAAAGGAGTCAAATCAATATACTTTTCGACCAAGTGTATGAGGTTTTCCAGTTCTTCTTTGGACCCTCCCACATCAAAGAAGTCGTCTACAACCGTTGTAAGTACTCCACCTTTGGCCCACGATATACGGGCATCAGATAGTTCTGGAGAAAATAAAGTTGCAGCCCCAGAGAAATAACAGTAAGCCAGCTTCTGTCTGGCAAATTTCAGTTCCTGCAATCTATTCTCCACAATCCACCTGCAAGTTGGTGAGCAGCATTATCGAGAAATGCAGATATATGCTGAATTGTGACTATATAACGAATAAAAAGTAGCACCTGAAGTCATGACGTGAACTCGTTCAAGTGTGTGGTTATATATTAGTAAAACTAGTTAGCTTATGCAAGAAGGCTGAATAAATGAAAAAGCTTAGCTGGGAGCGCACCTATCAAGACGTTCCATTTCTTCACGGTGTATGGACTGGCAGAAATTGAAGTCATCCACAGCTAACTTCAGGATACCAGAGCTGCAAATATTGTGCAAACTAGAGCAGAAGAAAACAAGAATGAGAATGAATGTCCTGATTAGATTGTCATTTAAAGGAAGCTGACTGTGCCAAAACATATTGCCGACAAAGAACACAAGCTACAGAGGAATGAAGAGGAAGTTACCGATATGAGGTTTTTGTAACTCTGGTGTTTTCCACAGCAGAAAAAACACAACCATTGAGTAGTTTTCTCCTGTGATCTGATCTTTCTAGGCTTGCGTAGGAGGGAAAAGCAAGAGCATCCTCGACCTGAAAAAGATAAGATTCTCAGATAGCTCTAGCACAGAAAGATAGATAAGAAAAGAGACTACCTCTTTCTTGAGGTATTTATCTCGAACAGAGGTCTTAAGCCAGTTGGACAATTCCATCTCCAGATATTGCTTAGTCCAAGAACACTGCTTCTTCAAAGCTGATTCATGTGGATAACTTTGGGCAGCCTTAAATAATTCTAACACAGAAAACGTATTCTTAACATATCCTTCCAAAGTATCAGAAAAACCAGATTCTTCTGCAAATGGTTTTAGCGGATCTGCAACAAACACAGCGTATCAGCTTAACATGGACATCACTTAACTCAAATCTAGGCTATTTTCATCTGAAAGAAAGAGGTCACTTCACCGTAAGACACATCATAGCCATGAGCGAGTAATAATCGGAAAGCCAAAGCACAAGTGGCCAACTCCAAACATATTTCTTCATCCCCACGAAGCCAATATCTGTTTATTGGTAAACGATAGTATCCAAAAATCATGAATAATATATTAAAAAAATTGAGGTCAAACTAAAAAATCGTCATAATAAGTTTCAATATTTGCATTTACCTATAGGTTTCATCCAATATGCTTTTGATTTCGGTTTTGAAATCTCTATCAATTCCTAAGCTTTCAAGAGTGACAATTAAACTAAGGCGTGCATATTGATCAAATGGATAAACTGTAGGAACTGAAAAGATAAGCAAACTTATTAGCAGTGGAACTCTCTAGATACAACGGAAATGATAGTCATGCTGATAGTTATACCTGCAGCCTCAAATTTCTGAAGGAGAGAACAGAGATAACGGAGACAACCATCATTTCCAAACTGAGTAAATGCAGCTGCTGTTATGGCTGGAGAATCAAACAGTGACCCATTTTTCCTTTGGTATTTGACTATCAAATCCCAATCTTTGAGATTTCTTGTTCCCTCTAAAACATAGGCCAGATATGCTTCTCTTCCCTTTGAAAATCTTTCACTATCACTGAACAAACATTAAATCATCAAAAGTTGTTGAAATGAAGACTTCTGTACAAGACAATCTTTCAGTTGCGTCAGAGTATGCTAATAAGAGAGCAGGAGTATACCATTTAAGATCCAGATCTCTTTTTCGTATCATGGCATCCACCACTTCTGAGCCCAATGGAATCGCCAGATTCAAATCTCTAGCATATTCAATCATCCCAGGAAATATAATATCAAATCCTGCTGGTTTCTGTATGGTTTCATCAGTGACTGATGCAGAATTCAGCTCAATAAACTGGAGACCTGGATTTTTTTTTTTGACACACATGAATCCATGAATCTTCCAAAAGTGAAATAGTAACAAAAGAGAAAAAATAAACTGACCCTTGTTTATTTGTCTTTCACCAGTTCCCCACTTCTTTAACGCGAGGATACTAGCCAGTGTAGATGATAACACATCCTTCTTAAGAGATTGATGGTCATGATTATCAAGTCCCCAAGATCCATCTTCATGTTGATATTCCAATAACCATTTCACACACTGTGGGAAAAGTGGAGCATTTTGGGAAGTCGGTGATGGAACCATTGCTACCCAACTAGTATCGTAGGCCGAAACAGAAAGCTCCACTTTATCCAACATCTTCCTAATCTTGTCCTTTGTTTGCTCAAAACTCTGGATAGTTTAAGAATATTAGTTGGTCTAGACCAGAATGTTCCTCTTATTCAAGATTATCGTAGAAGCAAGTAAACAAAATAAGCTGTTTAGTTTCTTTACCACATTGTTAGCTCTTGTCTGATCTACCGCTTCCAATCTCTTTTCCAAAGTAGCTGCACACAACAAGAGAACATTGCCAATTGATTCACGTTGAATAATTGAGATTTTTGATGAGTACGAAACCCTCACTAAAGGAAGATAATGAAAAATTCAATTTCAATTTTACCGACGAAATAAACATTTCATATGATTCAGAAAGAAAGATCAAATCAAACAGCAATTCGCAGAGTAGCGTCAAACTGCAGAATGATGCTGGAGAAATCACCAAGACCATGCAAGCGAAGAAATCAACCAATGCCGGAAAAAAATTAAAAAGAGATATCGAGAGTGAGAGTACACTAACCTGAGATCGGAGACGAACAACCGGAGGAGCGGAGGTTGATAGACATGGAGAAACCAGAAGCAGCCGAAACGGCGTCGTAGCAACCTAGTGAGATGTCATCATCATCAACAGTGACAGTGAGAGTCAATTCCCGATTGTGAAAATGAAAGCGACCACAGAGATAGAGAAATTGTATACTTGCGAGGAATTAGCCTTGACGAGTGACGACCGTATGACCCGAAAACTTCTGCAAATCTGGCTTCATACTAGATTATTACAAGTCATTAACATAGAAATTAAACTTTTTTGACCAATTATATTACGACAAAGGATAATCAAAAAAGAGGAAATAACGTGTACATCAACTCGACAAATATTCCTACTACTTTTATGAAATTATTATTACAAGAACATAAGCATATAATTCTGAATTATATTTCTTCATCCAAAACCAATCACCGCGAAACTACAAGAACATATCAAATGGTTCAAGCTAAAGACTGAACGAAATTCTTTGATTAATTTGCTATTTCTAACTAATTGATTTACATTATTTTCTAAACACCATTTACTGGCCAGTATCTTAACAACGCCATGACAAAAAAAAATTGTTTTCAACGATATCAAATTATATATATTCTCCTTTTTTTTCTCTTTTGTTAGCTAAGCCAAAACTAAGCCGTTTGACGATGGAGGGATCTGAAGACCTCTATTATTATTGTAAACCTCCAGCACTTCTGTTCCACGAAAGGTACGACGGATCTCCGAGTTGCCTGTAAGTGAAACCCACAAGACAACTATATCATTTCACTCTACACACTCTTATCCAGAATCTGAAAAGCCAAAGTATAATAATGTCTTAACACAATGAAGAAGACCTTGAGAAGGACGTACCTTGGCTTAACTAGATACAGTACCGCGAATGTAACAGCCAAGAACAAGCAAATGCTGCCTACTGTTAGATAAGCAATCCCGAGGAAATCGTTCCTTCCACCGAGCCAGCTAGTTGTTGATAGCACTAGCTTCTTCTGCCCATTGAAGCTGTAAGTGTTGTAGTTGTTCTGCAACAAGACCGTTATGGTATCACCTGCGTGTAGGTCCGTCTCAATCTTCCCATACAGCTTCCTAAATGTTGGCAAAGCCGCGGTTCTCATCCAGACTATGAGGTCTTCTTGCTCACTCAACTACCCAACAGACAACTCTTTACACTTGTTAACATCCAAATCAGAAAAGGAATCTAGATTGATTTGAAAGATTTTTACCGGTTTAGAAATATTGAGAGTTCCACCGCCTATTGGCGCTCCTGTCTGAAAATTTTTAGGGAAGACATTTTTCCCAAACTTGTTTTCTCTGTCACTCTTCCATGAGATGCCTTTCTTATTCACAGGAAGTTGTTGGCTATTTCTTGAAAAGCTATAAGTATCGTTAAACAAACTCCAAGCAACAAGACCACATGGAACAATTGGTTCTCCACCCACATTATCCTCAGGTGCACAGGTCTTCACATCTCGCTCTTCGCTTGGACTTCTTAGTTGTGCATCGTTTCGACTTTTCACATACCTAATAATATATATAATCAACCAGAGGAGTAACTGGATTAATGCAGGGAAAGTGACAGATAAGTAAGGCAAAGTACCGTCTATGGTTTTGGTAGAAATTCTCAAGTTGGTAGTATACATAGACAGGATGCTTCATAGGTTTTGTCACCTGGAAAAAAATAAAAAAGAGTCATACCTAGAAGAACAGCTAATATACTCAAATCATAGAAGGAACACTAAATTGCCATAGAAGAAGATATATACCGCTATTGTTCTGTTACATATCTTATCTCCTTCACCTTGTATGTAAGCGACCATGTTGTTTCTAGAAGATGGTGGAACGCAGTCTGTGTCATATCGATAAACAATCTCGACGACCTTGAGGTATGAATAAAACATATCCTCAATAAACAACAAAATCAAAGCTGGAAAAAAAACATTAGCATGATGCACATACTCCCTGAGAAGCAAATAAGCAGATCACTCCAAGGGGAATGAAGACAACCCCAGCGACTAGAAATGTCAAGATCACCTGCAAATGGCCGGCCATGAACAAAAAGAAAAGAGTAAAAGAGTAAGAAGCATTCTTTTCAAATTATTGTAACATTGCACGTGTGCCTCTAAGAATGTGAGATAACCGTGATGGAACTTACCCATCTTGGAGTAAGAATTGGCTTGCACGCTGGAAGCTCTTGCTGAGTAAACTTAGAATCTGGTAAAGAAACAGTTGTTAAGAAGAGAGAATCCATAGCCCACCATACAGTTTTGATTAATGGTTAAAAGTTTTCGAACAAAAGATTTCAACCAATGTGACATAAAAAAAAATTCAACAACCTAGCTATCTCTTTTAAATAAGAATCTGCATTCAAACCTAGAGTATACAAGAATGCATATTACAAATCAAAGATATGTGTCCATGATACAAAACATTCATAAACATGATGATCGTGGTATAGCAACACCATAAACAAAGAATCAAGGTTCATTTTTATGTAAATTCAATGACCATTCCAAGAAAGAAAGAAAAACAAGACGAGAATTTCCAAGGGACAAAAATAAAACAAAGTTGGACACAAATCAGAAAAATTGAAAAAGGAAATTGGAGGAATAGATAGAAAGATCACATTTTGGTCGCTTAGAGGTTTTCTTGACACCGGAAGGCTCAGCCGATCCGCCTCCTCCGACGGTGGAACTCATTACCGAAGAAATTGATGAGAAACAAAATCAGATGAAAATCGAATCGACGGCGAGAACCGAAAGAGGGGAAGAATGTTAGGTTAGGGTAACGAGATAGGAGAGAGAGAGACAATCTACATCTACTTGGGGAAGATGGATAGATCTTTTAGATGAAGAAGCAAAACTTTCACAAAGGAAAAAAAAAAGACGACTTTGACAAATGCTGTTAACATGGGAGGGAAATATGCCTCTAATTCTATTAATAATATTTATTTATTTTTTTTTGTCATCCGAAATTAATTATAACTCAAAAGAGTCATTCCTAAGGAATGTTGTTTACATATGTGATATGAAGCGGTTCTGTACGAATTTTTCGTGCCAGATTATCCGCTTTTACATTAGCATTTCGAGAAATTAAAGATAAAGAAAAGGATGAGAATTCTTCCTTGTCACTCTGGAATTCTTCCAAGTACACTGAAAACGTCGGCCATTCGGTTGGAGAAGACACCATCTTCACCAAATCAGAACAGTCTGTAAGAAACGCCACTTCTTGATTATCTGCACCAATCATACACTTCATCGCCCAGAGAAGAGCCTCGAATTCTGTATGTAATGGAGATAGACTTCTACGGAGGTTGGCAGCTCCCATGGTTGGCGGCTGCCAACCTCCGTTCAAACCTAGAGTATATACAGAAAAAAATATATCTATACAGAAAAAAATAAGCCAATTTTATGTTTGCCTTCGTCACATATTAATTTTATAAATAAAAAAAAAACGATTGTATAAGCCTTTTGACCCATTGGTTGATCAAGAGTTGATTAAGAAGTCTGGGGTTCGAATCCCAGATATTGCAATTTATTAACAAATTTACAGATTAATGGAGACATTCATCAAGATCACGAAGAAAGAAATGTAGTTTGTCGTGGATCTAATAAGAGTCGGAAAGAATTGTAACAAATTTACAGATTAATAGAGATATTCTTCAGTTCTCATAATTTGCAATTAATAATAAATTTAGACGAAAAAAAAAAAACCCGAT